AATGAACAGATGTTGTAATATTATTGAGCTATTGTAATAGGTCAGTATATATTGGGTACTGAATGATGTATAAGGGCACTCTAGATCACATTATGTGCCTCGAATCTCATGTGTTTAATCTCATTTGATCTCACATTGAGATGTCCTAGTAGAGAGTAAATGACATCTGAGATGAAAACCAACCAACCCTGGCAATGCCAATTGCAATAGAATCCGGAAAGGTGAGGAAATGGAAGAGGATTGTTTCAAAGCCAAAGTTTGTAGTTTTATACTTTCACATGTGTTGCTCCTAAAATTTGTCTCATTTTTAGCTTTAAATACACAGTAAACTGCCGATTTGGTCACTGATTATTATCTGAGTGAAATTAAGTCTCTAAACTATTTTTGCGATAAAATAAATCTTTAAACTCATTAAAAAACCTACTAACTTCATCCCTATTATAAAGATTCGAATCTATTTTATTTAATTTTATGTTCATTTAAGTCATGTTACTTACATGCGATACATTTTAAAAGGTAATATCGTCATTTTCTGATGGTTGAGTTTTTTGGCTCGTTTTTACGTTATCGAGAAATGTAAAAGGCTTAGTCCGGTGAACTATTAGTATTAGTGAAGCTTCAAGGACTATAGGAGTGTACACATCAATGCAGTTTTGAAGAATTGAAATAATGGATGACCAACTTGAACTTGATATTTCTTAGTACTTTAAACTCACACCCTTTCTATATGTTGCTTTAGAACTCAATTTTTAAGAAAAATATATAAGCTGTTGTTTCTCTATATATTCCTTCAGTACAAGGAACCTATATATATACAAAAAGATAAAGTATATGTTGCAAGTTTGACAGAATCAGGGACCTGAAAACCTTAAAGAACCAAAACAGACGAAATCAAAAAGTAAATATTCAAAACGGAACAAAATAATGAATGGGGACCTGATCATCTTCTCTATTCAAAGAAGGAATTCCATCTAATTATTTAATGTGAGAAGCTTTCTCACGTTTCATAGGTTAGTGAAGGAGATTACTCCTTATCAAAAGATAAGGTTAAAAATCAATTTAGGTTATATACATTTAATGGTTGTAATAAACTAAAATATAAAACCACAACGGACAAATACATAGCAATTAAAATATTTAAATAAAAACATACTTACTCCAACAAATCACTTCTATTATTAATAAATGATAAGGAGATTCTCAAAAGTAGATTTCTCTATAAACTCTTTATCATCTCATATTTTTTTTTTTTACAGCGTTTTATAATATTGAAACAAAAATTAATGTTAAACTCTAAAGTGACAAAGGGACCATGAAAAATCTCACTTTAAGAAAATTTCCTTAGCATTTTTATCATTATTATTTGATTTTGGATTTGTGAGAAATGCTAAAGAAACTCTCTCAAAGTAGAACTTTTCACATACTTCCAACCACTTTACAATTTTATAGTAATTCTCGTGCCAAATTTATAGAACATGTTGGTACCACACATATTGGACCTCATACTTTGATACATTGGGCCTCATTACCCAGCACATATGATTATATAAAAGGAGGAGCCCCTTATTCTATAAAAGGGGACTCCTCTCCCCTCACAAATGGGACAAAGAAAACCCAACAGAGGGTAATACCCTCACAAACACAACAACACTCTCTTTCTCTCCCTGACTCCCCCTTACCCTTGTAATCCATATATACAGTTAGAAATACAATCAGTGTGGACGTAGTCCAAATCTTGGAGTGAACCACGATACATCTTGTGTTATTTACATTTCTTGCAGATTCACGGTCGGATTTACGTTATTCCAAGACCTCCGGTTTTGTGCATCAACATTTGGTGTCATTTATGAAAAATGATACAAAAAATTGTGTCGATTCTCTTTCATTTTTTCATATCCGCCGTGAATCTGCAAAACAGAAGAAACCAAACACCTACCGAGGGATTGAAGAACACACCGCTTTCTCTCTCTCTGTCCCTCTCATCATCTCTCTCTTAAAACTACTTTCTCTCTCTCCATGTAAAAGTTTCTCTCTCTAGAAAGCTGTTATTCTTGTTAATTTGGCTATCTGTTTTCTTTGTTTGGTCTGGTTTAGATAGAGAGAGAGGAGAGAGAGGAGAGATATAGTGTGTGTGCGTGTGTGTCTGATCGTTGAGAGGGAGATTCGGGTAAAGTGCCGGGTAGTTGAGGGGGCGAGGGTGAGTGAATGAATGGGAATTCCGGTGGGGTTTGCTAAAGTGACGCTGCTGACGACGACTTAACTTACTGTCTCTCTCTCACCGGCGACGGAGCCATGGACTTCGATGCCGGAATTCCCATGTCTCGAGCTGCCGCGCCAGTCACCGACGCTCGCTCACTGTCAGCCTCCTTGACCTAAGAAAGAAGAAGAAGCAAGCAAGAACCAGGGAGAAAAGGCGAGCGAGATGTCGTCTTCAGACGATGAGGGTTTAGGGGAGGAGTACCTCTTCAAGATCGACGGCGACTTTGTGACGGAGACAATCAGCATAGGCGGGACTTCGACGAAGAGGATTGCCATCGGCTGTGGCCACACCAACGAGGGCCTGTTCGTCGGAGCAGCTGGGCTTCTCGGACTCGACGGCGGCTCACTCTCGTTTCCATCCCAATTCAAGTAGCATGTCATTTTCCTACTGCCTCATGGACCACAACTTCGACTGGTCATTTTCCAACTCGCTGCTCCGTCCCAATGCCGTTACAGCTCCGTCACGCCGTAACTCTCAGCTGGACACGTTCCACTCTCTCGGTCTGACCGGACTCAGCGTCGCCGGCCTGGATGCTTGACTCGGAAATTGCAGGACTGACAAAGGTTGGCCAGCTACTTGAGAGGAAGGGAAAAGAAGCTTTTGGGTTCCCAATACAGAGATCCCATCTCTTTAGCAAGATAAGATCTTTTTCTTTATTATTTTATTACTTTATCATTATTTTGATAAGATATTTTGCTTTACAGTATGCATATTAGAGACCACATTATTTCTTTCATGGCTGTCATCACGTTCCACTGCTTGTGCAATAGCAAACGAGACCACATTATTATTAAATAGTTTATTATTTAATTATTCGTGAACTAATTTATTATTTAATAGTTTATTATTATTTTGTGTTGATGGACGCTTTACAGTATGCATATTCTTTGAGGAGACCACATCATTTCTATCACACTTATATTTTAATGCATAGTTAGCAATATATTATTTGCTTTCATGATCTGTGTGCATATAGTGCGGCACCTCACAATATCTGCTTTTCCAGTACTGCTGTGTACTAATTATGTCGGGTCACGACGCATACACATCATTACTACTATCAGTATTTTACTGTTATACAAATTGCATTACTACCTAAACGAACGGGGTGACATGTTATAATAATATGTTTTACATTATTATTAATGATTTATCACATGACTATTTTCCATAACATGTGACAAGTCTGACCAAATTACACCTTTTATTATTTGAATGTTAAGGTGACATAATTTTGGAGGTTCATGGCACAGACTTTGTTGATCAACATTGTTGCTAATTAAAGAAGCATACCGATACTATTGATCAGCCTATAGATCACTGAGCCACATGCTTATGGTGACAAAGATTTAGTCCAACGATGATCTCTTGTCGGACCGGACGCCCACTTGCTCGGACATTCGCTTATTGGGACACCTATGTGCCTGGACCCAACTCGATGACCCTACAGATAGCCCCAACTCGATGACCCTATGTATGGCCCCGACTCAAAGACCCGACTTGCGGACCCGATCTGCGAATCCGACACATAGACCCAATATGCAAACCCGACAAGCGGACCCGAGTCATGTCGAGAATCAACTCATACTGAGTGCATGTTGACATAAAGTAGATACTTGCAATGAGGAATACCACGAGCCGAGCCGTCTCGTAGTGAGTATAGCCTCTAGCCAAGCCGCCTTGCAACGAGCATCGACTCCAGTCGAGCAAACGCCTCGCCGCGAGCATAACCTCTAGCCGAGCAGCCTCGCAACGAGCATCGCCTCCAACCAAGCAGTCTCGTAACGTGTGATACCTCTAGCCGAGTATTGTTTTATGTTGAGTATTGCCTTGGGTTGAGTACTAATTCAAGACATCTAGCCACTTCGGCCCGTACATGGATTGGATTTGAAGTCTCCAGCCAAAAGACTCTCTTGACTGAAGACTTGGGGGACTACTGTTGGTACCACACATATTGGGCCTCATACTTTGATACATTGGGCCTCATTATCCAGCCCATATGATTATGTAAAAGGAGGAGCCCCTTATTCTATAAAAGGGGACTCCTCTCCCCTCACAAATGGGACAGAGAAAACCCAACAGAGGGCAATACTCTCACAAACACAACAACACTCTCTTTCTCCGGGGGACTCCCCCTCACCCTTGTAATCCATACATACAGTCAGAGAAATACAATCAGTGTGGACGTAACCCAAACCTTAGGGTGAACCACAATACATCTTGTGTTATTTACATTTCTTGCAGATTCACGGTTGGATTTACGTTGTTCCAAGACCTCCAGTTTTGTGCATCAACAGAACATGATGCAAAATATGAGATGATAAAAAGTTCAAAGCCCACTTTTAAGAGAATTTACCTATACCATTACTCTTGGATTTGTAATTCAAGGAGTAGGATTCTTTCCCATCTTTTTTTCCCTTCCCTTCCCTTTACTCCCCTCCTAATTGAACGGTCACAGTTATGCCACGTCAACATCTTATATTAATTTTTACAGCAAAAAATATATAAAATAAGAGAATATGAAAGAAGAGTGGAAGTAGGGGTGGGCACGGTGCGGTTCAGTGCGGTTTTACCCCTAAACCGAAACCGGAACCGGAACCAGAAAATATCAACGGTTCGGTTCGATGCGGTTCCGCTTAAATTTATTACTAGAACCTTACGGTTCGGTCTACACCGGTTCCGATTCGGTTCTTGCCGATTTATGGTTCCAAATATTAAATTATTTGAATACCAAATCATCATGCATTCAAATACATCTCCAGACTACTAAATATGCTAAATATGAGACAAGATAATTAATCAAGTACAATTAAGTTCAACTAACCTGGAACTGTAGAAGATAATTAATCAAACAGTAGAAGACAAGAGTGTGCAGATGCCCTCCGCTCCAAAATTTCACGAAAAGCTTCAAATGGGAAACAATAGAAGATAATTAATCAAACATCTGTACGCTTCAAATTGAAAGTGGACACAAAATCTTTATTTAAAAGGACAGAAGGTTTAAGCATGATATACATGATACGCCCTCCCAAGATGAAATGAGAACGATAGATTAGGTCTCAATCGTCTATTTGCGAATGGGCTAAGTAATGTATATGCCTCAATGCCACTGTACATGGAGGACATCCATTCAATCAAAATGACCCCAATTAGACAATTACGTTATACTACTTTTCATTTTATATTATTTCTGTTGTGGGGGTACTCTTAGTTCTCAGCTTCCTCAATTTGCATTATAATAGAAAAAAATAACATTACTTATTTCAATTCAACCATACAGTCCATGACTCCATGTAAGAGCCAATATCATACACCTCCAAAGAGCCACAACTTTCTTGTTACCTCCCCAAGAACAAAGCATTATATTCCAACAAAAGATAATAATCTCAAGGGCAAGCCTGAAAATACCAAACATCCTCAAAACCAAGACTGTCTTATGAAAGAACAATGTCGAGAGAGGTGCCCATCTCCAATGTGGAGATGAGAAATACATAATCTTTTGTTCTTTTAGTAGGAAACAAGAACTTATTACCAAATAGAACTCGTGAAAAATAAAATACAAGATATCAACCACAAGAGAAAAACAAAAACCAAGGTCCAAAACCGTAAACATAAATCCTATGAAACCCAAGTGTTCGTTCGATAAGCACAGAAAAAAACAATAAAAATCATAATCAAACATCTGCACACATCCAATTGAAAGTGCAACCTAAAGGCTTTCTTCTAGTTGATTGACCAGAAATGCTGATACACAACTCCTACCACCTTTTTATTTTCCAGTTCCATGTCTACTCCAAGTCCCAAACTAGATTTCTTAAGAAAATCGTGTTCCTGCCCTCCCACTCCCCAGATGTTAGCACTTCTTACAACCCAAACCAAGGAAATAAAATAAATTCTTTTCAAAATCAAAGTAATTATAGTTCTGAGGAAGCATATGCCAATATTACACGGGGTCATGAAAGCTTCATAAAAAAGAGGCAAAAAAAAAAACCCAAACCTTGAAAAACAAAAGCTCAATGAGCTATACCGTTCTTGAAGATCCTTTCGCGAGAAGCTAAGATATCACTCTGCGTGGAAGCCATGGGAGCACCTGAATCGACAACGCAATCAATCACCATTCACCAATCCGAAAACAAAGTTTCAAGAAATGATCGAACCTGATAATTCGGATGCGATGCGGTGGGGACTGAAGTGGGGAAGGTGAGTGAAGCAAGATGTCCTCCGCAGCATGCAAAGAAGTGAATGCTTTAGAGACTTGACGAAGGGGTGTAGAGAGAGAATATGAGAAAAGAGAGAGAAAATACCAAGGATGGAGGACGGAGGACGAAGCTGTCGTGGAGGAGGGATGACAAGGGTCGTCGCAGAGAGCCGCGAGTGAGGTGGGCGGCGACTCGGCAGAGTGAAGAAGCCTACAGGAATGGAAGTCTAAAAGTGTGAAATGGGCGATGACTGATGAGGCCGTGAGTGAGGATGAGGGTGGGATTCACTGCTTTGCAATTTGGTGAAACTAATTTTTCAAACTAACCTATTATATCATGACATGTGTGCATATATATAATTAGTTAATTTATTATTAATAAAACGGTTCGGTTCGGTTCCGGCTGGTTCCAGTTCATTTGAAACCGGAACCAAACCGGTTTGAAACGGTCCGGTTCGGTTTTTGACTCAAAGTTGACTTTTCCGGTCAACACGGTTTTTTTTCATACGGTTCGATTCGGTTTTGCGGTTTGATGGTTTTTATGCCCACCCCTAGATGGAAGGGGATGAAAATAGAAGGAAAGAAAATTCTATTCCATAATTTAATGTAGGAAAAGGACCCGGAACTTTTGACAGATTTTATGACTTGGGGCAGATTCCAAAATGTAAAATATTCTAAAAGCTAAACTTCCCAGAAAAGTTAAAAAAAAAAAAAAAAAAAAACTTCTCAGAAAAGGAAAACGAACTTCCAAGAGGGGTTTGATCAAAAGCACAAAATATAATAATTAAAGAGAAAAAAAAACGCGTGGCATGTCTGCAGGGGCTGGTGCTGCTTTTTCAGCAGCCAAGTCCCGTTCCTCCTTAAAAGCAGAGTTTAACATCTTCTTCCATTAAGCAGAAAAGCAACAACCGAAAACCGAACACTTTGATCAAACCCAAGTCAGTTTCAGTACTCTTTCTCCTGTGTTTCTAATCCTATACAAACCCACCCACCCAGATTCCGATTCTTCTTCATCAACGATAGATGGCTGCCAATGGAATCCACTTCACCAGAGTTGGTGACGTGTTGTTGCCAGTGGGATTCCGATTCCGCCCCGCAGAAGAAGAGCTGATCCGCTATTACTTGCAGATGAAGCTCGAGGGAATGGATTACGTTTTCAGCCACGTCATCTGTGAAATCAATATCTGCGACCACGAGCCAAGGGACTTGCCTGGTAATTATTTTCAAAACCCAGGTCTTATATTTTCATTATTTTTCTTAGTTCACTGTGTCTGATAATCTGAATTTGCCATTGGGTGTTTGTGTTTAATCCAAATGTAAATTAATTACCAAACCCAGTTCTTAATTTTTTATATTTTAATTTTGCTGAAATTTTTTGTAAAATCTTTGAATTTGCAGTTCAATGAGTCTGACACTCCGTTTATGCAATTGCGTTTAGTCCAAATGTAACTTTATTATCAAACCCAGTTCTTAAAAAATTCAATCTTTTTATTTATTTTTTTATGAGAATTTTACTGAAACTTTTCAATTTGCAGTTCAATGAGTTTGAATCTCTGTTTACTGTTTAGGAAATTGGGTTTAATCCTAATGCAACTTATTACCAATCCCAGTTCTTAATTAAAAGTTTTCTTTTTTGGGTGACAATTGTACGAAGGCCAGTGATTTCTGCACTCTTCTGTGAGTTGGAAAAATTATAAAATGTTCATTTTTGAGGTGTAAACAGCTGAAAATGCAGTGCGAAAAACGCTACCCCTTTCCTTGAATGAGTCTGATAATCTTTATATGCAATTGGGTTTGAACCAAATGTTGTGTTTTATGCAGGGCTTTCACTCGTAAAGTCGGATGATCAAGAATGGTACTTGTTCAGCACTTACAAAAAAAACAGCAAAAACCAGATCGTAAGGGCGACGAAGGAAGGCTTCTGGAAGGTCACTGGTGAGCGAAAACAGGTCAAGACTGAAGACAAAAGAACTGTCATCGCTGAAAAAAGGATTCTAACTTTTAAGCAAGGTCGTGTTCGGAATCCCCAAAAGACCGACTGGGTTATGCATGAGTATTACATCCCCAAACCAATCCTAATGATAATCAGGTCACCATTCTTGTTCTCTTTTTTTGGGGTTGTTGTTTCCAAATAACTATATCGGAATGCTACCGACCTTTTCAATCAGACTTTCGATCTACCTTATTTAGTCTCTTTTCCATCTTACACATCTCCAACGGAGGTTGTGACTAAATTAGCAAATTAAAGAATTAGCAACTTACACTGTATACTTATAGGGTAATTGCTACTTTTTCAAGTTATAAATTAAGTCTCGCAATATATTTCTATCCAAAACTATTTGTTCAGTAAAGAGTTTGAAAATAAAATTTAAACCCACAATTATGATAAAGTTAAGACATTTTCCAAAAATAAAAATACAACTTTTATTATCTATTTGTATCATATTTTTAATTGAGTTGAAATCTACATCGTTAACGGAACCCAACTTTACTAAAAAGATGATATAAATAATAGTAAAAATAAATACTCAATGCAGTATTAATAATTGGTATGAAAATTTTAGTACCATAATCGTATCGAACCCATTCCTAAGTATTATTCTTGAAAAGAAAATTTGCTCAACTCGTTTGGAGATGCTGACATGATCCCTCGCTTCTCAGTGAGTTCCCAGGAAACAGACCCAGCCATACAGCAAGCGGTCCCACACGTAGGACTCCTTAGCTTCCCACCAAACGCCACGACAACAAAAATTCCACATCCCATGAAAAAGCAGAAGCAGAAGTTTAATATGTTCTTCCATTAAGCTAAAAAGCACCCGCTGAAAGCCGAAGACTTAGATCAAACCCCAAGTCAATGTCCTTACTGTTTCTCCAGTGTTTCTAATCCTATACAAACCCACCCAAATTCCGATTCTCCTTCATGAAAGATAGATGGCTGCCAATAGAAACCGCTTCACCAGAGCAGGTGACCTGTCGGTGCCAGTGGGATTCCGGTTCCGCCCCACAGAAGAAGAGCTGATCGACTATTACTTGCAGATGAAGCTCGAGGGTGAGGATTACCTTGTCAGCGAGGTCATCCGTGAAATCAATATCTGCAACCACGAGCCAAGGGACTTGCCTGGTAATTGTTTTCCAAACCCAGGTGTTAAATTTTCATTAGTTTTCTTAGTTCAATGAGTCTGACAATCTGTATTCTCCATTGGGTTTTTGGGTTTAATCCAAAGGTAAATTAATTACCAAACGCAGTTCTTAAATTTTGTTTTTTAAAATTTTCTGAAAATTTTAGTCAAAACTTTGAATTTGCAGTTCAATGAGTCTGATACTCTGTTTATGCAATTGGGTTTAGTCCAAATGTAACTTTATTATCAAACCCAGTTCTTAAAAATTTCGATCTTTTTATTTGTTTTTTATGAGAATTTTACTAAAACTTTTCAATTTGCAGTTCACTGAGTTTGAGTCTCTGTTTACTGTTTAAGAGATTGGGTTTAATCCTAATGTAACTTATTACCAATCCCAGTTCTAAATTAAAAGTTATCTTTTTCGGGTGACAATTTTACGAAGGCCAGTGAGTTTAGCACTCTGCACTCTTCTGTGAGTTGGAAAAATTATAAAATGTTTATGTTTGAAGTGTAAACAGCTGAAAATGCCGTGCGAAAAACGCTACTCCTTTTCTTGAATGAGTCTGATAATCTTTATATGCAATTGGGTTTGAACCAAATGTTGTGTTTTATGCAGGGCTTTCACTCTTAAAGTCGGATGATCAAGAATGGTACTTCTTCAGCACTTACAAAAAAAACAGCAAAAACCAGACCGAAAGGGCGACGAAGGAAGGCTTCTGGAAGAGCACTGGTCCCCAAAAACTGGTCAAGACTCAAGACAAAAGAACTATCATCGGTAAAAAAAGGATTCTAACTTTTCAACGAGGTCGTGTTCGTAATTCCAAAAAGACCGACTGGGTTATGCATGAGTATTACATCCCCCAAACCAATCCTAATGCTAATCAGGTCACCATTCTTGTTCTTTTTTGGGGTTATTGTTTCTGAATAATGTTATCGATATGATGTATAATTTGCAGCACTGTTTAACAATTTTTATGAGGTAAGTTCTAAACTGGAGGCTTCAGGAGTTTTCGTTGTGAAACCGAAGCCTATTTGGTTTGGTTCGAAGGGTTTTTGGTTTTGAAATGATTGAATGGATCAAAATCGAAACCCCTTTGAGCCAAATTGGTTTTAACATAAATGTGCAAAGGTTAATGATTTGTGTTTTTTTTTCTTGAACGAACGATATTATCTACACTAGGGGATAATGGAGGGGGCTAAGCCTCATAATAGGCTAGCAATAACGTGGTTCAAATTCGCATTTGGCGAGTAATTGAACCTAAAACCTCTCACTTACAAGTGAAGAGGAATACCACTAGACCGTAGTACTAAGTGGCCTTTTGGTTTTGAACCCTTGTTTAATTTTGTGTTGCTGCCACTGCATTACATGATTTGTTTTGCAACTTAATTGTGCAGAGGGATTTCGTTCTCTGTTGCATAAAGAAGAAATCAGGTGAGAATGTTTATGCTGCAAACTGTGATGAAGGTGAATCTGGTACTTGCAACAATGAATCTGATTTCGAAAATCAACTGCTACTAGCACCTGGTATGGATATTGAAGAGGTGAGAATGTTGAACACGAATGCTGATTAACGTCTTCGTATATATAAACGGTGCAAAAGAAACTGATTTAAAACCTTGCTAAATTATGGTTCACATTGTAGGAGCGTACTCAGCAACAACAAAGCATGGACTATTTTGAGAGGGAAAAGGTTCGTATGCTTGCAAGTGCCCCTGGTAATAATGATTACCATGGGTTACAATCTGCATTTGGAGCTGATGGACCGGATGATACGTTCGAAGAGTTCTTATGTTCAGTTATTGTTGACGGGAATCAGGATGAAACAACTCATGCTAACATCTTCAACGACTCCACTCCGCCACAGCCAATTATGAGGGTGTATTTTGAGGATGAAGCATTAAGCAGTGACACAGACCCAGAAGTACTACTTGCACAGGTAACCCAAAAAAAAAAAAAGAAAAAAAACACGTTTCCCATATAAAAGAAGCTTAAAATATATATTGTTTCGGTGTGTTGGTAGTTTTCACTGGCAAACGCTAAAACTTTGCTCAACTTTTTGGTGCTGGAGGCTTTGGAAACACATTCATGTTTTTAGACTTTTTTTTTTTTTTTTTTTTTCAGGAAATAAGTTTACAAATGCTTAGTGAGCCACCAGTTGATTCGAGCCACTCCAGAAGAAAGGAAGGTGTAATGCTTTACCAGACACAGGCTGCTTCCTCTGTCAATGTAGTACCTAAACCTCAGACTGATCGTCTTCAAGTAGTCACTGATGAACATTCTGGTACACATCGTAGTCAATTAGTTAATGACAAGCATTCTGGTACACATCAAAGAACAAGCAGGCCGCAACGTGAATCAAGACACAATAATGCCTTAAACGTAAAGAATGCTTCCCCTGTGGATGTAGATGCAGAATTACGTCAGATTAAATGTATTCGATTAGCCCCTGATGAATACTATAACAATGAAAGAACACGTGGAAGAACATATCCAACAAGTACCCTCGAAGCACTAAGCAAACAGAAAGAATTAAAACAGCAGCAAAGCAAGGTGAGTGAGAGAACCCAAAACTGCCGCACGTAGAATGTGAATAATGATTCTTTGTAGAGGCTATTTCCACAACTTAATTTGGTTTATTTTTGCAGGCGAAAGAAGTTGCAGAGCGTCGAGCTGCTGTTGATTTTCCCCCGAAGAAGACCTCTGTAACAAAGTCTAACAAAGAAGCAGATGTGGCTCAAGGCAATAATGCAGAAAAGGGTCTGAAGCAGATGCAGAACGCAACAACCGCCGGCAATTGGAAGGACTGTTTCATTTCATGGGAGACATCCCCTCCATTAACAAGTCCCCCATCGGTGTACCTTTTCAACATGGTTGTAGTTGTAGGCTGCGTTTTAGTTTTATACGGGCAGTGGTGCTAGAGGGGTTCTTTCGCCAGAAAATGGGTTAGTTTTTGTTGTCTGTCACACAATGAGTAATGCCATACTATCTGGTTACTTAATGCTCCTCTAAAATGTGGGAGTACCAGCCACAGTTTGCAGTGATGAAGTGTTTATATTTGGTATAGCCTATGGAGTTGACTTTTTTTCTTTTTCTACGGACCAGATGTAATAATGGATGGCTAGTCCTGTAATATCAATATAATATATTGTTTTTACTTAATCATTTAGGAACCAGGTGTCACGCCCCGATCCCAACATACATCGGGAATCGACATGTGACAAGGAAATAAAGTTCGTTGAATACGGTATAAGTTACGGAATGAAATATTTTAACCGATAAACCAAAATAATATGAAGGTGGCTAAGTTCTCCACAAAATATTTTCAAATATGTACATTCCAAAAAGAAGCATAATCTTTGCTTTACTAAGAACAAGTTTGAGATGCTCAAAAGAAAGTCCCAAAGATAAAATACAAGATAGGTTATAGGGGTAACCTAGCACTCCAAATCTCTGATAACTGTACCGCTAACCCACCTACGAACCTCTCGAAGCTACTCAGACTTGTTACCTGTAAGATCAGTGCCTACACCATCATAATGGTGCACCGGGTAAACAACAACTTGGATAAGCTACGAAGCTAGTGTGAGCGACACATAAAACAAAGTATATGATACTAATAATAAAATCAACCATCATTCACAATTTATAAACCTTGAATATAAATCATTCATAAGAAATCGCTACCAAACCTTCAAGCTCCGAAGGAGTCACACATACATCCAACGAGTTTTCCAAATCAAAACTCAGAGTTCTCAAAGCCACATTCACAAATACATTCAAAACGTGAGTTAGAGTGATGTCGTTCGGCTGAAGCCTACACAAGTAACCAAATAGGAAGTGGCCCCCCAAAGCGGATCAACCAAGCAGAGCCACCCCTGAGAAAATAATCAAATAGGTAGTGACCCCCCAATGCGGATTAACCAAGTAGAGTCACTCCTATAATTATTGGAAAGTGATCACCCAATGTGGATTAACCAAGCATGATTACCTTTAAATGTGTATGGCCATACCTAGGATATAAGGATCGCCCAACGCGGATTAACCAAGCGCGATCCACAAATAGTATGGTCCCCTAACGCGGATTAACCAAGCAGGACCATTGCTATGTGGTACAGACTTAGTGTCACCTAACCCCATGACACTAGGGTAATGGTACTTTACAATCCATCATTTTTATCAAACCATCAAATGTATATTCCAAAACACAATCCATCATTTTTATCCACCATCAAATATATATTCCAAAACACAATCCATCATTTTTTTTTATCAAACTATCAAATATCCAAAACACAATCCATCATTTTTTATCAAACTATCAAATATATATTCCAAAACACAATCCATCAACAGTTCAAATATCCAAGTCACCTAATATTTCATAAGTAGATAGACGGCAACTTAATAGCAACAATTATTTAGCATTAGAACTATTTTAAGAATCCATGGTGTAACCACAAAGTTTATTAGCACAAAAGATTTCAAAGCAATAACCATATCACATAGATTAGAATCACTCACTTGAGATCCACACTAATGCACTCAAACACGAGAGTCAAGGCATCACGTTCTATCACCACCTAACAAGGTACAAGCCATATTTAGATTTCCTTCGATAATTCACATACTTGAAAAT